AATGTAAACCATATAGTCATGAATCCAACCTGAGTGTTACTGTGACACCTGAATGTCTAGAGTCCAAACTTTACTTGGCTTGTAAATGGCATCATAATGCTACAACAAACCAGCTATTCACTGAGTCCAAATATTTAATACTTTCTGAACTTTGAGTACTATTTATTATAAATAAATGCCCTAGTACCTCAAAGAGAAAAGAGTAGAGAACCCGCTCTCTTTCTCCCTCTCTCAAAACGCTCTCACATAGCCACGTGTATGTGAAACCACTTCCGCGGACATTCCTACTGATAGTTTTCTCGTAGCGGTGTTGTTTACCGAATTGAGAGGAAGAAAACAGAAATTCTTGATTGGCACTTAAGCCGAACTGGTGGATACAGAGGATTCCTCTAGGGGGAGTTGGAAAATACTGATTCTAAACCAGTGTCGCTCATCAATTCCTGGATCTGGAGAGTACAAATGACGGATGAACCTATTTTTCAACCATTGCTTCCATTGGAACGCATCTTTAACATTGTTCCACTGTCTTGTGGATTAAATCTGCAAGTCAAAGGCTCAAGGAGAAATTCCCTCATAATAAAACCTCCTGTTTCAGTTTAAGTACCTGGGTAGCAGTATCAAAGCCCAGCCCATATACAAATTTAGGTACCCCTTTGTACCAACACAATCATGTGTTTTCTAACTACACCCAATGTTAACTAACTACATAGCAGATGATATCTTTTTAAAATCTTCTCCCTAGACATTAAACAATTAGGCAGTAACTACTACCAAAGACAAAGGGGTGAAGTCGCATAAAAATCTCTAGATTAATCAAGAGTTAAACATTAACACCGCTGGATGCCAGCCCAGTAGTTCACAAGGTTACAAGTTCGCGCCACAATACCGACACAAAGTCGGTGGATGTGCACTGGCCACTGATGCAGTAGTCCCCGTTACGACAGGGACCAAAACGGGCAGTCCTTTGCAGTGCTTCCAAGTTTCCCAAATCGCCTATGGTCTAACAAATGATTGTATTGATTGATTGATTGATTTATTTCAAATATGTTGTGAAAAAACACTAATCGTCCATAATTCTAATTTGAAAATTGATTTAAACGCCAAAATTATTCATTCATTCGAATAAAAAAAACATTGAATGCTCAATTTAATTTGAATATATTTAATTCCTTTAAGAAGATTATCATGATCATCATTTCATTAAACACATTTTTTCGTAAAAAAAGATCCATTCATATATTTGACAGAATGAAAATTGAAATTTTTCCCCCTCATCAGCTACTACTATTTTTTGACACCTTGTGTATACAATTTTCCACATACCTGTCAACTAATCAATACGCGCACAGGCACACACACACTCAGTGATACGATCAATTTCATGCATCATGTCATGACACCTTACAGTAATCATGATCTAGACTGAGGAAGTTGTTCATATCATAATTCGATATGATTATTACTATTCATTAATACTTTTTCGCCTCCTCCTCTTTCAATAAAACAAAAACTTTTAATTTCCAGTTTGGGGATTTTTGCTTTTCCCTTAAATGTGTGTGTGTGTTTGAGTGTTCATTTGTCAGTTTGCCTGATTCAATTTGTTTAAGCCAGAAAAAACAAACGATGTGAGAGCGCTCACAGCTCCACACACTCACACATAGTTCGACAAACAGTGAGCATAAAAATGTTGTGTTGATGATTAGGAAGAATTGGGGCAAGAAAACCGAAAAAAAACGAATGACAAATCAACCCAATATTCAATTATGCCAGGGGAAAAACTAAATTTTCTACTCATTCATTCATTCTCACTTAACTCGTGTTAATTGGTCCAAACTTACTTAATCCCTTGTCTCTTTCTCTAGCTTATTTTATGATTTAAAAAAATATTAATAACAGGCGAAACTTTTTTTTTAACAAATGATCATTTCGGATTATGAGGATGATTAAAACGCCGAAAAAACGCCAGAAAAAAATTGAATTTTGATATCTTGATATATATTATGCATAAATATCACTGTCATAATCTAGAAGCATATATATTTCATCGCTTTGACACATCAAAATATGTATATATTCATTAATCTAGAGAAAGAACGAAAGTTATTTATTCATTAAAAAAAATGAAAAATCAAATCATTGAACATTGAATAGGTGTGTGTGTGTGTGTCATGGTGTTGATTGGTTGGTTGACTGGTTGATTGATTGATTAATTTGTATGTAGACAACCGATAAACTGATCAAATTGTCGGAAATCAACCATGAAATTGAATAAAAAAAACTGATTACAAAAAAGGAATGGGGCTTTACAAATACTCAAGAGAAAAAAACATTTTATCAATATATATATAAATATATAAATAGTCAACGATGTTGTGATTTAAAACAACACAATCTTCTCTCTCTCTCTGTTTGGATTGAATTTATTGTACATGATATATTTGGGCGATAGTAGTACATTTGTAATAATAAATTTTTAACATTCAACGCGAATATTAAAATACATATTCATCTAAATGAAAATGCTTGATGAACGTAAGAAAAAAGTAAGTTATACTATTATGGAATTATGTTTTTTTTCAGTTTAGTGGGTTTTTTTTGTTTTAGTGAGTTAGTTTTCCACTGGATTGGGGTTGCCGCTAACACTACTACATATATGCCTGACCCTCCTCCTTTATCCAGAGGTTTGGGACTGGCAGTAGCTCCCCAGAGGTGCTCCAAGTGGAGTTAAGCTTTGTTACTGATAATATTACATTTTATTTGTAACCATGAATCGATCAATGTTAGACCACCATTAGAAACCTGGAAGTACTGAAAGACGGCCATTTCGTCCTGATATGGAACTCATCAGCAGTGCGCATCCAAAACGCCTGCCGCCCGAAGGATTCGAACCCAGGACCTTCGGTCTTGCACGTGAATGCCTAACCTTCGAATCACTGAGCCGATATCTAACGGTATTCTGGTCTAACTCCGATCGATTCACGATATTAATTTCAAAAAATATCATACTCATCTCCACAACTCTATCATGTAAATTATAGTGATTTATTTAGATTTTTTTGGAAGTTGACACAGTGAAATTTTAATGGGAAATCACAGCTACATATGAAATAAAATTCAGTATCAGTAGGCATCTTTGATAATATTGAACGTTTTGTGAAATTACTAACTGTTATCCCTCAATAGAGCATAGGCTGCCGACCAGTATTCTTGGGCCTTCCTTTCTAGTTCTGTTCAATCGCTTTTCATTCTTCTCATGTCTGTCTCCATTTCTCAGTGTGGTTTCGTGAAATAATATTCAGGAATTCGTTTGCTCACATTTTCAACTTCGGTATGCACACAATATTGTGTGTAAACTTTACCGATTATTATTGATGAATGAATGCTTCATTCTTAACTAAATTAAGCCACTACCAAAGAATGATATCAATCTGACTTGGATACAACTCTGCTTGGAGCCCCTTTCGGGACTACTGCCGGTCCCAAGCCAGGATAAAAGAGGAGGGTTGGGTTAGTGGGGTTGGTGAACCCATCCTGTAGAAAACCAACTCACTCAAAAAAACACCAACCGGAAAAATCATTTCAAAACAATTATAGCACTGTATTACAAACATATGTAATTTTGTCAATAGTAATGACCAGAAAATATCGACACGCAAATTTTTTTTTTAGATCGGAATTTAATTCGATAAACATTGTAAAAACCAGAAAATATTGGATAGACGATAGGGTATATCATGAATTGTATATATGTAAACCATTGGATATTGATGTACAAGTTTTAAAATGTTACGCATATCCCCGTGTAACCAAACGGTCCCAGTGAATTTGTGGATGAGGAGTCCTATACCTAGGGCTAATATTTTATCCAGTGTAGGGTGTATACCAGAAGTGAGTCAAGTGGATAAAGAAAAGCGATACACACTGCGTTTTTCAGTAATGCGATTGTAATTTTTTTCCTTTGGAAAATAGGAAAATTCAACTAAAATTCTCAGTAGATTTCGGTTAATTGTTTTATTAATGAACACTGAACATTGAACACTTCATTTGTTTAACACGTTTCAACAGTGTTTTGAGAATTCGCATATTACAGTCAAGAGGATTAAACTAATCGTAACGAATTTTCAACTAAGTATCATGCCAATCAGAAAACAGATTTTGTAATTAGTTAGTTAATCTGGAGCCTTCCATGCGGTTAGCGACCCCATCCTATAGAAAGCTAACTAATCAGAAAAGAATGAACAACAAATGGACAGAACTAGAAAGGAAAGCTCAGGACAGAGTTGTCTGGAGAATAATGCTGCTAGCTGATTGCTCAATTCGGGTTTAACGCCGTAGGGTTTCGGCCGTATCAGTGGTCAGGAGGTTAAATGTTCACGCCCAAGATCGAAGGTCCTGAGTTGGAATCCTGCAATTTGCAGGAATCCTGGGTGCTTATTGCTGCTGAAGAGTCCCATACCGGAGACGAAACTGTCCTTGTATATACTATAAATCAAAAAGCAACATTAGACACTAGTGTTAAATGCCCATATAAGTAACTGATAAGAAAAATCAATAAAGAACCGTTCAAAATATCAAAATATATTTGTTCTTAAAAGGAGAGGAAATAATATATCTAACAAGTCATTTAAAAATAATTAATTTTTTTATTTGAAATAAAAAGCGTTAGCTCGTGCAAAACCGAAACTCCTAAAGTACAAATCCTACAAGTAACAGGCAGTAGAGGATGATCACTGTGGATGCATAATAGTTTCATACTAGAATGAAATGGCCATGTTTCACTATTTCCAGATTTTCAACAATATAGTCTAACAATGATTCATTTATGAATTTCAATCTGATTCTGTTTAAATGTTGATAAATTTACCTAAATTTTATTTTGTTTTGTTCTGTGTTTTTCAAAAGAAAGTAGATGCTGAAAGATTACGACGTATGAAAATTAATCATCGTCTCAATCGACTTCGTACTATTCTGGCACTTAATAAAGAAGTAAGAATTCTATGCAATAAAAGTATATATTGATAAGTTTATTATTGATTGTAGGAAACCATTGAATACGCATCACTTGCTAATACAATAATTTTTTGCCGTATCTGTTTCCGATTGTCGGCACAGAGTGTTCATTGGTCTGTAGCTTTTCGTTTTTACTTTCAGGATTCTAAGTGATGATTTGTCTTTTGACATAGTTGAGTGATTTCCTCAATGTGTCTCATGTACACATGCAGCGCTTCTTCCTAGTTTCTTCCTCCGTTGGAATCTGATTTGTTCTTGTTAAGTTCGTCACTAGGTACGCTTGAAGCTATTACGGGTTCATTTTAGGCAATAAACGCGAACGAGACAATGAACCAGGCTACCTTGATCCGTAAACGGCAAACGATTTTGAGACATGTCATTCAAGATCACTGACCATCAGTTATTATTGTCTCGCGGACCCCAACTAGGTAGTATATCTACACTTATCAACATGACTCAATCCAGTTGTCACTGACTTCATGGATTTGTGTCATATTTTGGTTTGTCTAACCGTAGCTCTATTCCAATCTACTCCTACACCACAAAACATAGCTCGACGAGGGAGTCGGTGTTTGCGCATTCGTAACACACGACCCAACCACTTCAACTGAAAATTTTGGGTTTGACTATTAGATAGAAGGAAGGCCGTGGATACATGTAGCTGAGGAAACCTATGTATGCTACGGCGAAATACCTTTGTTATTCCTATTTAGTTATCAAGAGTTCGGTTTGGTTCATCACCAAGTATGCTTGAAACTATATTACGGGTTCACCTTAGTCTATAAACTAGAACGATACAATGAACCAGCGTCCAAGTAAGCTACCCTGATCTGCTGACTAATGAAAAATCTTGATATAACGCTTCTTCCTAGTTTCTTCCTCCGCTGAAATCTGATTTGTTTTTGTTAGGTTCGTCACTAGGTACACTTGAAGCTATTAAGAGTTTACCTAAGTCGATAAACGCAAACGAGACAATGAACCAGCGTCCAGGTAGGCTACCTTGATTCCCAAACTGCAAAATAGAAGTCTTGATAAGCGTGGAAAATATATATTCTACAAACACCCAGCTAGCATACAACGCAATCAAGCAAACAACTTTCGCATAAATCCTTTCTCCATACCAGACTTGGGCAAATGTTATAAACATGAAATATGCATTACAAAGCTCGCACACAAACACACTATTAGAATGACGTAATAAAAAAAGATTACGCAATCAAAACAATGAGATAGAGATATTCAAGCATGTCTGTTATTGTATTTTACTAGTCGTATCAGTAACAACAACAGTACACCTGTTGCGTAATGTCTTCCAATTCATTGTAATTATTGACTAACAACAATAGTAATAAATTGCCTTGATCTAATTGAAAACAACACTAAACTGTTGTTAAAAGATCATTATGAATTTGTGTGTGTGTGTGTGTTGATACTGAATTCAGATATCACCGAAATTTCTAATAATTTGGCGTATAATACTCACAATGAAGCTTATAAGTAGTGTATAGTGGATATGAAGCGGAATGTACCATACTGATGGGGATGTTATAATCCCAAAACTCACTTGTGAAAGGTCTTAATTTTGGATTTTATGTTTTAGCGCTTAGGCTGATCAGTTGACCTTGAGATTACGTTTCACACCTAGAGAATTCTTGAGTTGATCTATTATTTTAGTAAGCTTTATTTTGTAGCTCTCTCAAGGACTTTTCTATTGATGTATAAATAAACTCGATTTGTGTGTGCTTGTCAACATCATATTTTCTGGGTGCTTGTAGATTACACTTTCTATGCCATATCAAGACATCTTCGTCTACTTAGTGGGGCCTCAGGACGCTCATAATTAGAGTAGCCTATCGTGTCACTGGATCATTTGTTTTCGTTCTCGTTTACCGAATAAGGTGAACTCGTAATAGCATTCAAAGCATATCAATTGACTTGAGTATAACACACACAGTCAGTCAGTCAGTCAGTTAGAAATAACGTAGAACTTCGTACGTAAATACGTACATCAATTCAAGTTGTCATACCACCACATTAGCACACAGAGAGATTGAATTGTAAATTCAAATCCCACAATAGTTGAGGTAGTAGAAGTATTAGCAATAATCGGAGAGATTAGGGTTCGAAAATATTATTCAACAAGTATAATCCAGTGAAATAAATTTGAGAATAGAAAGGTAAAGGTGATGAGGAATTCAGAAGATTATAATTTGAGCGAACACAAGGAGAATGAATGTACCTGCGCCATCGCAAACAAGTTTAAGCCATGCCACCACATTCAAGGTCTCTAACTATACTAGTGTAGTGAAGGAGAACACAGGTGGGGCAACCGAATTGTATTTGACGAAAATTACAGAGTTACTCAATAAAATAGGAAAACCATATCGTAAATCGTTCATTTGCAAATTATCAGTTCATCATATCGAACTGGACTGTTACTGTTGTAAACAACATCAATCCAATGTCACTAATCGTGCGTTTCATACAAATTTCATTGTGTTCCCACTCTTCATTTCTTGATCTTCCCCTATCTTCTGCTGCCAGACACTACGTTGACACTCACGTCATATGCTACTTATAAGTAGCTCACACCACACTAGGACGAAACAAACATCTTTCAGTGCTTCCAGGTTTCGAATAATGGTCTAACACGATAATTGATTCACGGTTTCAATCTATACATATTCATACACATTATCATTATTATAGTCCTTATTGCTGTTTGTACAAATCTTTCCCTGATGAGAACTTTTCTAAAATTATGATATACAAAGTATATATGTACATTGTTGTTTTTCCCCATGGTAAATACTACTAAAAATTTAGTTAGTAAGTAGTTGACGAGAAAAAAATGGAATCTAAAATAAATTCATGTATTTTTTATCCTACCTCCTATATTAATTGTTCTTGTTTTAGTCAAATTGTATAAAAGCCTAATACTTTAAAATTATTAACAACCTTATTGATAAATATTTCTAATAGATTCATGTAAAATTTCGCTCTTTCATATAGATAGAGTTGATCATATTTTTTTGGCATAACCTTTGTTCAATTGTCAATTTCATAATTTTTTTTATATTTTAGATGACACGAATTCAAATACTTAGATATGCAGCGGATAAATTGACAATTGGTACACCTCAAACAAATATTTCTACTGCTGAATGCAAATCAGATAGATTATCGATCATGTCTATTAATTCAGATGAACACATTAAATGCTTGATGCCTCCTAATGATTCAATAAATCAGAAGGTAATATTTAATCGGTGACATATTTCTGTTTTTATTCAATGTTCAATTTCAATTAGGAACTAAATATCTATTGAAAATATCTTAAAATGTGCTCACTAGTGACTAGCTTTGTGAGGAAATTCCACGGAGTTCTAGTGAGAAGCTGTGTGACCGGTGGAGTAGTTCAACCCTGTCGGGTGTATGCAGTAACTACCAAAGACAATACTGGGTGAGGTCGCGCAAAATCCTTAGATAAATCAGAGTTAGACATTAACACCGCTAGTGCAGGCCCAGCGGTTAGGCGTTCACGCATAGCTTGGCTACCTATTTTTTCAAATGTTTAAATATGACTTATTAAAACCCGTGACCATTCGGCGAGTATAGGCCACTGACCAGCAATCTTCAGCCTACTCTGTCCGCCGATCTGCTTTGTAATTATTCCCGATCGCCATTCATTCTTTTACAAGTCTGCCTTCAATTCCCAACGCAATGTGTTCATTGGCCTACCTCTTTCCTTTGACCTTGAACATTCCAAGTAAGGCATGCCTTGTGACTCACTTTGTTGCTTCCCACAACATGTGTCATATTTACCTTTAGTCACAGGAATCTAATTTATTCGCTTGTACAATAAGTTATTGCTGATGGTGTCTGGTCAACGGATGTGTAGACAATTATTGTTAATAGACATCTGTATCTTCCGGATGATGGTTTTCGTGATTGTTTGAGTTTCTACCACACACACAATAGGACGGTTTTGATGATTGTATAGAAAACTGTAATTTTGATGTTAGTTAACAGACGTTTTGATTTCCAGATGTTTTTCAACGGCATGCATTATCTGTCCATGCATTCACACTTGCATTGCTTTCACCTTGTTTATCAAGGATGCTGACCACGGATGTAAAAGTATCCAATTCTACTTGAACTTTTAATCAAGTGTGACTTAGCTGGTGCTTACTGTGTTTTTTATCGGCAGGTGTTAATTTTTGTCTTGTGTATGTATGAGGCCTACGATAGCAGAAGTTGCTACGACACTGTACCTCTACTCCTATATCTTTGACCGTGTTTGAGATAGAAAAGCTCCCAGCCCTCATAGGGTTCTGCCAGTCTCAGGCCAGGGATAAAAGTGGAGGTTTGGGCATAAGGTTAAACCCCGCCATCCTGTAGACAAAAGCTTGCGTAACAACACGATACAATGATGAAATATGTTTGAACTAACTAACAATTTAAAGAATTCACTATAATATTTCGTAATTTATGTTGAAAATTCTTTACAATTTCGTAATTATAAATCAGCCTTGTAATAAAAAAAACGATGATCACTTTTTTATTTATTAGGAAAAATTCACAAAAGCATCCATAGAACAATATCGTCGACGTCTAGAAAGAACTGAATACGATCGAATACATTCAATTCTTGGTGGTGAAAAGGTTAGTTTTTTCTTTATTGCAATGTTGTTTTCACATTAATGTGAAGTACGTGTACAACCTTGTTGTCTGTTCTAAAATTAGGTAAATTACGAAGGACGCTTGTATTTAGGTGGTAAATTTTCAATTTTCTAAAGGTTAAGTAATCAAACTCAAGATCGTAGGTTCCGGGTTAAATTCCTGCGAGCGAGGATCGTGGATGCACACTGTTGTTGAATCTCCTACTTAGATGAAACGTTCATCTTTCAGTGCTTCAAGGCTTCGAATTGTGGTCCAACACTGATCGATTCATGATTTCCATAGAAATCAACCATCTTCACAATCCTATAACGAGAATTATCTTGTGCTCACTGGTGACTAGTTAGTTCCATGAAGAAGTTTCTACGATTTTTAGTGATAAGTTGTGATCAGTGGAATTCAACCCTTTCCGGGTATGAAGCACCACTGACCACCAAAGATAACGGGATAAAACTGCATTAACAATTAAATTATCATTTCACAAAGTGTAATAACTTGTTAATTGTGCATAATCCTATCTGGTTAACTCTTTTGAGTCCATAAATAGGAGTATATATATATATATATATATATATATATATATATATATATATATATATATATATATATATATATATCTTTATAAATTACTCGAAGAGTCAGTCAACAACAACATAGGACTTAGAACTTACGTACATCAGTTCAAGTCTCCATACCAGATTAGCATAAAGATGCGTTTGTCACTTCAAATCTCATAGTAGTAGAGGTATTAGAAGTATTAGTAGTAATCGGAAGGATTAGGGTTCGACGATATTATTCAGGAAGTAGAATTTAGTGAAGGTGATGAGGAACTCCTAATGTTAGGATTTGAGAGAACATGAAGAATGAATGCACCTGAGCCATTGCAAACGATTTCAAACCATGTCATTCAAGGTCTCTAACCATCGGTGACTTTCGTCTCGCGGGTCCCAACCAGATAGTCAACACCTACCAACATGACTCAGTCCACTTGTCAGCGACTTCATAGATTTCTGCCATATTTTGGTTTGACCGCCCCTAGCTTTCGTCTAAACTATTCCTACATAGCATCATCTGACTTTTTGAGAGTTGAACTTTTACCATGAGATCCGCTCGTCGACTTAGAATATACGATGACATAGTTCTATTGGGTATAGACGATGAGAAATGCTATCTTTTGATCACCCTAAGCAAAAATGCGAGACCGAATCGATCACAAACATATGACTCGAAGATGAATTCATCAAAACTGTAATTATGAATTCAATAAGTAAAATAAAAACTTGAATCGAATTTTTTATTTCTCTGTTCAAAAATGGTTAAATATTAAACCCATAACTTTCATTTAAACATAAATTATGATAAATAATTCAAGATTACATATGGTGTACACTCCTTATATATATATACTATTGAACATTGTATCGTACATATTGATCAAACATGGAGTTTGTTTTTATTCGCGCCTTATTTAAAAATAATCAATTTAATGATTACAATTCTTTTGTTTTATTCAATTTTCTGTTTAAACAATAGATGTCCGATATTCAATTATTAGATAAATTAATTGAAATGATAGAAAATACCGAGAATTTCAATATAAACAAGTTGTATCAAGAAAAATCGACCATGAAATCGTTGACATCAGCATCATCTTCATCATCATCATCCCAACCATCAGCAATAATCAACGTGAATGTTGATACAAGAAAAGGATTAAAATTACTAAATACTAATCAGTTCAATATGAATTCTGTTCAACAGTCAATTGTCAATGTTAATTCAATTAAACAAAATGAGAAATTGCATGAATTGAATACAACACAACAACAAAGAAATAATTTACAAAATGGAACAAATACTGTTCCCTCCATAAATAATTATTGGCGACCATGGGAAGATGATGGAATATAAAATAAACACTTGTATTGTAAAGTTTTTCAGCTACATCCCTTCCTAATCAATCAATCAATCAATCAATAGCAACGTAGAACTTCGTACGTACGTACATACGTACTTACTTACGTACATCAGTTCATGTTGCCTGCCACACAACATTAGCAGCATAGTGTTTTACTCATGACTAATTATTCATTATTATCTGTGATTTCTTCAAAATGTGTACTTGTAAATAGACTGTTTTCTATTTTTTTTGCGCTTACACTTGAAAAAAACTGTTTCAAAACTTTTTTAGGTATAAAAATATGAGATTTATTGTAACTAACATTTACTTGTTGTTTACATCTTCGCATTGACATTTAAAACTGTAATTGATCAGTCGCTTTTTTTGGCATATTATGTGTATCCTGCACAGGTCACCTCGATATTTCTATTAGACGGATAATAGTGAGGCAGGCGGAGGGGATGTACCTGCATCCCGCCGGAGTTGACGCTTAACTCTGTAACTTGAACAAAGTCTAGGTCGATGTATACAAAACCATCCATTTATCTACTGAGTGCAGATAGTTACTGGCTTGTGCTATCAGGTGAATTGACTATTATCCAAGTTTCTGTAACAGAATTTCATTGAACAAGAAGAGAAGTTTAGTTCACTCATCATTATCGATGAGTGAGTGAGTATACATCGATGATGAACTACTTAAATCCCATCAAAAAATAGCTCTCATATCTAATTAAATAAATGTAATGTGAATCAAGAATTAAAACACGAAAGATTTCTCACAGTACCGATGAATAATACTGTCTTCATAAATGTTGATTTGAAATAAGATACATACATCAACAAGAATAGTGGAGAAAATAATTCTGAAATATATTTGAAAAACACCTTCTGTTTCATACGATTTCTTAATGTCTCTTCTTTGATGCCATAGGGATAGAGAAATTATAGTATTTATTGAATGTCAGACGACATAATATAGTTGTATTCAGAGGGTAAATCAACGACAAGGGAAGTGACACCATGAATTAGAAAATACATGTCATTTAATTGTTTGAAAATAACTCAAACTACTGTGCACTATATAAGTAGTGTAGTTCAATATAGAAAAACGATAAGGTGATAGATTCAGAATCAAATTAACTAATATCATTTCGTGTGTGCGAATGAAAATGGATTATAGACATGAATATTTCGCATTCAGTTCAATTTAAACTGATTGTGATGAGATGAAATGTCATATTAACTTAATCCATAATCCGACTTTTTAACAAATGAATTAATCAATAAATTTGAACTCATCATTGACATGTATCGCAGGGGAAACCTAAATACTTCAATTAAAATCATATACGTTCTTCACATTTGATATTTAGGATATCGGTAAGATAATAATAACTCATTCTAAATGAAGACCAGTGTCAGACAAGGTTGCTTACTCGCACTCTTTCTCTTGATTCTCCTGGTTGACTGGATCATAAAGTCGTCAACATGTGAGGAGAAACACGGGACAGCTTGAATGCGTCTAAAAACTTTTCAGATGATCTAGCTTTTCTATCCTACATACAACAGCAAATGCAAGAGAAGAAGACCAGTGAAGCAGACGCTTCAGAATCAGTAGGTCTCAAAATATACAATCGAAAAAGCTACATCCTTCAATACAACACAATATTGCATCAACCAATTCACACTTCATGGAGAAGCTTTGGAAAATGTGAAAACTTTTACTTATCTGGGCAGCATCATTTACGAGCATGGTGAATCTGAAGTACATGGGAAGGCGTAGATTAGCAAAGGAAGGACAGTATATCTACAAGTGAACAACATCTGCAACTCAAAACAACTATAAATCAACACTAAGGTCACAATTCTCAACATAAACATCAGAACAGTTCTACTGCATAGAGCAGAAACTTGAAGAAGCACGAAAGCCGTCAACGAAGAAATACAGGTGTTTATTAACAGTTGTCTACGCAAAGTACTTCGGATCCGTTTTCCAGACACCATCAGCAACTATCTACTATGGGAGAGAACAAACCAGATTCCTCCATCTGAGGGAGTAATCAGGAAGAAGCGGTGCAAGTGGTTAAGACATAAATTGACAAAAGCACCTAACTGCGTCACGAGACAAGTCCTCACTTGGAATCGTCAAAGCCAATGGAAAAGAGGTAGTTTAATCAGGGAGCCATTACTCGGAACTTTGACCAAAAGGACTTAGTCCACAAGCCAATGGAGCAATGCTAGGAGATACAACTACATGGTATCCGATAGCCAATAATATGTTCTCAAACTGTTCGTCCCATCAGCATCCTGAATTTCATGTGAGTTAATAGGCTTTCCAAGTTCGTTAGATAGATCATCTGTACCCACTAACCCGGTTTAAACTCTAGTCGGATATTCGCTTTTCATCCTATCAATGTTATAAACAACACTCTTGAAACGATAAGTAAGAACTCCCTGGTAATTGCTCTATACACGTGTCCATTTGGCAGCATTTAGAGAAGAAGAGCGAACTGTCCTCACTCTTCGCCGTGCCAGGGGCACATTTTTTGAAACCATGAATCGATCAATGTTAGACCACCATTAGAAACCTGGAATCACTGGACGGCCATTTCGTCCTGGTATGGGACTGACTCATCAATGGCAGTGCGCATCCACGACTCCTGCACCCCACAGGATTCGAACCCAGGACCTTCGGTATTGTGCGCCAACGCCCTAACCGCTAGACCACTGAGCCAGTACCTAACGGTGTTAATGTCTAACTTGATCAAATTCACGGATTTGCGCAACCCCATACACAGTCTTCAGTAGACACTGCCTACACCCGAACAGGTTGAACTTCACTGGTCACGTCTTCCCACTAGAATTCGGAGATTCCTCACGAAGCTAGTCACTAGTGAGCACAGGTAATTTGCATGACGGGGTTGTGAAGATTGTTAAGTTACACATTTTTGAAACCATGAATCGATCAATGTTAGACCACCATTAGAGGATAGCATTGGAAATTGATACGAAGCCAAAGATTAGACTTAAAAAGTCAGATCTTATTCATTTGGAGAAGGAGTGATCTGTAAGCTAATTTTCATCAATCATCTATGACATTTTATTGCTTCTTATGTGCTCATATTCCATAGCAGAAGTACACCATTTTACTACATTAGAAAAATCTATTCTTCTGGATGTCTGCTGTTCCATTTGGTTTAAAATCACTCAGGGAACTTAAGTCAATTATATGATATTCTAAGGAACTATTGCTCGACTACATTAAATCCATCTATTCATTATTTTTCTTCTATCGCACACTCAACAACAAATGCAAGAGAAGACGACCAGTGTAGCAGCAGCCTCTGCAGCAGTAGGTCTCAACATACATAAAGGAAAGAGGAAAATTCTCCGATGCAACACAACATGCACCAACCAAATCACTCTTGATGAAGATGCCTTGGAGGACGTTAACACCTTCACATATCTGGGCAGCATCATCGACAACCATGGTGGATCCGATGCAGATGTGAGGGCACGGATTGGCAAATCAAAGGCTGCATTTCTACAGTTGAAAAATATCTGGAACTCCAAACAACTTTCAAACAAAACCAAAATCAGGATATTCAATTCAAATGTGAAGACAGTTCTACTGTATGGAGCGGAAACATGGAGAACTACCAAAGCCATCATCCAGAGGATACAAGTGTTTATTAACAGTTGTCTACGCAAAATACTTCGGATTCGTTGGCCAGACACGATCAGCAACAACTTACTGTTGCAGAGAACAAACCAGATTCCAGTGGATGAGGAAATCAGGAAGAAGCGGTGGAAGTGGATAGGACACACACACTACGAAAAGCACCTCACTGCGTCACGAGACAAGCCCTCACATGGAACCCTGAAGGCGAAAGGAAAAGAGGAAGGCCAAAGAATACATTACGCCGAGAAACAGAGAAAGATATGAGAGGAATGAACAAACATTGGACAGAACTGGAGAGGGAAGCCCAGGACAGAGTTGGTTGGAGAAAACTGGTGGGCGGCCTATGCTCGATTGGGGGTAACAGGCGTAAGTAAGTAATTCATTATTTTTATAAATCAAAAAGTTTTATCTCATCAACCACTTGAAATCCTCCCTCATAAAACATAAATCTAGACGACAAGAAATACAGTTCAAAAAACAACAAATGTGACTGAGTAGTGAAGATTTAGGAATAACATTTAACTTCAGATTTAAAGATGACTAGATACTATTGAAATCGGTTTTACATTATATCATTCCAATTACAAGGTTTACAATCAGTCAGCTTACATAAACAAAATTTTAAACTTTAGAAAGCAATAATTTAAAACGCGAAGAAGTGAAATTTATTTACTGAAGTAAATTTTTATAAAATGTCACATAGTGAAATGATAACATAGAAAATTGAACTTCACTTTTTGGGATTGGTACAATCATTCAAAGTATTCGGGACATGTGACCAAATATATTTACTCCCTATTTTAAGGTTGATATGACTTTTTTTTCTTTTAAACGATAATTGGTAAATAATAGATTTTTGTTTATCACTGAAACCATGAATCAGTTCATTGTTAGACCAGCATTAGAAACCTGAATGCACTGGACGGCCGTTTCGTCCCTCTACGGGACTGATCAGCAGTAGTGGCCCAGTGGTTAGGCAGTCGAGCGCAAGACCGAAGGCCCTACTTTCAAATCCTGCGAGTAACAGAAGTTGTAGCTGCGTACTGCTGATTGTGGTCTAACAGTAGTTACAATAAATAATTATATGAGCAGTGTTGATTAGGAGAATGCGATGATCTATAATTAAATATAACCTAGATATACCTAGAATTTCATTAACTAATCATCATCAGATTAAAACACATCACTAGTGCATGAAGTT